GTCATTAGCACCTCTAGTAATATATTTACTGAGAAAAATGGTGACGTGTTCAATACTTATTTTACCTGCTGTAACTCAGAAAAGAAAAAACACAAAAAGATATTGTTCTAATGTTTCTTTAATTGTGTGTGTTTTAATCAACCGTTATTTGAATATGAGGTAAAGTAAGGTATATGTTTTTCTGTTTTATTTTTCAATTCAATTTAATTAATTCTATTCAAAATAATTATAATCTAGTTTACTATGTTTTACTATGAAAAATGTATGATTGTGTTACTTAAGTTTAAACAAAATCTTACGTTTTATTTTGATTTGAAAAGTTCACTAAAGCTTGGTTCATTTTCAAGTCTTGAAACCTGCCAAGGTTTTAGCTGTTTTAACAGGTGTTGTTTTTGCTGACTGAGGCAGTATTCACCAGACCAGTGGAACTCTCCCAGACTAAAACTCACTTCCATCTTTTACTAACAGCTTCAAGGCCATGCCCGATAGTACCCTCTTTTCTCTCTCCCTCCTTTAGTACTAACAACGGGCGGGCCTCCCCAAAGACAGTCTCCATCTTCTCTTTGAAGAGAGAAGAGCTGAGTTTTTCCTCCTCAGGAAAAAACAGCATTCAGGTGATAAGATTTCAGCTCATTTTGCCATGGAGCAATCTTATCTCCCAGTCCATGACACCCCCAGTTGTGGACCAAATTACCAGCAAACTCCCGGAAGTTTTGTTCAGAACTTCTGTGAGACGCTTTTATTATTGATCCTAGGAACCTGTCGGTTGTGACTCTCCACGCACGAAGCCAAGAGACCACTAGACCCGAGATAATCAACGCCTTGAAGTCTGGCAACCTGGTCGGTTCTGAAGATTTCTAAGCGGATCCCAAACCTGACCCGGGTCAACTTCCACCACGCTTAACCTGACTTGAAGTCTGAAAAGGTAAAAGCTGAACTTGGTTGATTAGAGTGTCTGCGTCCGGGCTGTGCCGAGCGAGACTTCCCAAACCCTCCTGGCTCTTCACCTTTTGATAATAATAAATCTAGTTCCCTTTCTTAACAAAATTTTCCCTCCTAAACTCTTAAATTCTTTCCCTTGTCCTGTCAAACTCTTTAAGAATAAGTGCCTCAACAGTGATTTATTTAACATCTAAAGCCAAATGTTGTTGTTCCTGATAAAGTTGTCAAAATAACGAGATTTAACACATTCGCAAGTTAAATGTTATTGATTTCAACTTTTGTAAACATCTGATCAYCCCTCAATGAGTTTTGTATATAAGTAATTGTTTTTGTAAATAAATATCATTTTATTTTTTTGTGTCACTTCAGTAGAAAATGAAACCAGATATTAGTTTATTTAGTTTATTTATTTC